CGTTAGGGATTTTTAGGAGCAAATAATTAACTACAAAAAAAAAAAAAAAAAAAAAAAAATTCTACATAAGACATTTTAAAACTTGCTTTATATTAATATCGCTTTTTACTCAACTGTTCCCTATGGATATAATTGGATCAGCATGCGGATTAGCTTATTTATTCTTTTTGGCAAAACTTGTATCAATATTCTTTTTCTACGTAAATATTGTATAATTAAAGTACTTTGAAACACTTTCATTTGTTTTTCTTTTTTTAAATTCTATTTCAATTTTATATTTTTTGTTTAAAAATATTTTGTTTGTACTGTTTTTTTAATGTCATTTTTAAGAAATAATTTTTGCTCAACTATTTGAAATATGTAAAAAGTTTAATAGTTTAATTTTAAGAGTTGCTTGCAAGTGAGAAAAAAAAGGGTCTGCAAAATCTATTTAAAGTGAGAAAAGGGTCTGCAAAATCTATTTAAAATGAGGTTTTTTGCATTGCAGACATTCAAATTAAATTGATTCTACTGTAAACAAAAGTGAAAAAAAAAAAAATTAAAATCAGCGCAAATTAAAATCAGCAAAATTTTCATGACAAATTAAAATCAAAAAATTAAAATCTACAAAAATTAAAACCAGTTATTTTTATTTTTTCTTAACTAAGCAAAAGCATTTTGTTTTTTACACACTGCTAAGTATTTTATTATTATATATTTAATATAATGATGTATTATATCATTGAATAATAGATAGAAAAAATACAATAAATTTGATTTTTTGTTTTTTTCATTTTTTTTCTAAAATAAATATTTTTTAACTTATGAAAATGTTTTTCTTGAATATTTTTTAAAGTTTATCTATTATCTTTTTCAACCTTATATATTATACATAAATACATACATATATATATATATATATATATATATATATATATATATATATATATATATATATATATATATATATATATATATATATATATATATATATATATATATATACATATATATACACACACATGTATACATATACATATATTTGAAAGCTTTGCCAACGTATTATGTACTTTTAGGTTTGCCATTAGAAGAAGCCTTAAGTAAAGCCCAGGAAATGGGAATAGCTGTAAATAACACAAGTTTTCAGCTCAAGTTTAATGACGTATATAATTTTGGGATTTATAAATATCAACGTAACAATAAATGTACCAAATGTATTTTACAACTTGATTTCCAAGAAAACGTTTTATATTTAATTAAACGTGGACTTAAGCAAAAAAGTTACCAATTTGATTCCATAGAATATATTGACACTGAAGATAACTTAACGCGGATTGTAATTCATTTTGAAAACGGTTTATATATAGATATTGAACCCGGGTCATTAGAAGAGAAGAGCCGAATATCCCGTCTGCTCTTGTTTATTCTGAACCAAGATCAACAAGAACCTCCTCGTTTAAACAGTCTTGTTGCAAATCGTGAAAAAATACTTTTAGAAGGTCTTCTCGAAAAAAGAGGTCGCAAAGCACCATTTACGACATGGACTAAACGGTTTGTAAAAATTTTACCTGGTGAAGTTATGTATTTTAAGGTAGGTAATCAAGAAAACGAAAGTTCTGCTTTAAGTATTATTCCTTTAAAATTAGGCGATTCTGTTTTAAAAGTTAATGATGGTGAATTCACTTTGCTATTAAATGATAAAGAATACTCATTTCGCATAATACCTTCTAAAAACAGCAATTCTACTGACCGTGACAATTGGATACAAGCTATTGAAAATGCAATAAAAACGTCTTCAATACATAAAAATGAAAGTTTTTCTAATGCACACGATCAAAGACAAATATTTTCAAACGCATTTAAATCAATAAAAGCTCAGTTAAAGCAATTTGAAAGCATTCTCCATTCAATCGAGGCACCGTATGAAGCATGGGAACAGTTAAAGAAGATTCAAAAAACAGTATCATTTCTAAGAGAAAAAATTAAACAGAAAAATTATTTTGATGAAAAAATAATAGTTAATAACCATAATAACAAAGACAACATTAAAAAAAAAGAAATCGATTCACCATGCTCTACCTCCAATTTGAATTTTAATCAGGCAGTAGATCAATCTTTGAATTTACAAACAGGTCTGCTTTCAAATATACCTACTATTCAAACGTTGAGCGTGTCGAATGCTCAAACTTTAAACATTCCTATTGTTCCACAATTCTCTATCCCAACTCCACCTTTATTGAGTGGTTTGTCTTCAAAATTACCTGCAAAACCTACTGTGGTTCCAACATGTAAAATGAAACCACTATTTTGGACTAAAACAAATGATACAGACGTTTTGAAATCTTTTTGGATGAATTCTCAAGACAAAACACATTTGTTAAATCTAAAGAAATTAGAAAACTTGTTTTATCACGTTGGTCAAGAGATTGCCAAAAAAGAGCCGAAAAAGGTATCTGAGCTAGATTGCAAAAACAGTCAAAACATGACTTTGCTTGACCAACGAAAAGCTCAAAATTTAGGTATATTTTTAAGCGGTTTTAAGATTAATGAAACAAATATCGAAGAAAAACTAATGATGTTTAATACAAGTGAAGGGTTAACGAACGAAGAAATAGTTGCATTAAAAAAGTTTCATCCAACTGCGGACGAAGTTGAAATGTATAAAAATTATCAGGGTGATAACAAAAAGTTAACGGACATTGATAAGTTCATGATAAAGTTGTGCAATATTCCAAATCTAGCAGTACAATTGAATCTATTATTGACAATGCATGATTTACCGGATGAAATAAAAAATATCAAAATGCTTTTAAAACATCTTATGAATGCGTGTTTATGTCTTCTTGAAAACAACAATTTTACACGGTTGCTTGAATATATTTTAGTACTTGGGAATTACATGAACGGCGGTACACCTCGAGGAGCGGCCTATGGGTTTAAATTATCTGTTCTTACTAAACTCATAGATATTAAAAGTTTTGATAAAAAATACACACTAATAGATTTTATCGTTGATGAACTATGGGAAATTGACAAAGAAGCCATCTGTTGTTATAAAGATATGCAACCTTTAACAAATCCAATAGATTTCTCGTTAAAAAATTTGCTTGTAGAGTTTCAAATCATGCAAAAAGAACTATTATTTTTTAAAGAGAAACATAAAGGTATAGAGACAAATCTTGGAGAAAAAATATGCAAGAATATTAACGAATTTTATGAAACTTATTCAAAAAAAATTTTAAAGGTTGAACTCATGTGCCAAAAAATACAAGATATGTGTACTTTATTAAAAATAAAGTTCGGAGAACAGCCTTCATTACCTATTGAGACTTGGTTAAGTGAAATCGGAGATTTTGTTAAACATTTACAAACAGCTGTAGAGGTTGCTGAAAGAAAGCACAGTAAAGATTGTTCATCTCTAGCAACAACAATATCTGACTCAAATAAGGTGAATAAAATCTCTTACACCAAAAATCAAAACAATGAAAACACAGAAACCCGCGTTCATACCAAAATTGAACTTTCTAAAAGTCATGCTTTGAATCTTTCAAACACCCCAGATAAAATCATAGAAAATATTTCACCAGTAAGAAATATTGTACCAATCAGAGAGCTATCAAGAAATGCTGATGAAAATAAAAATACTCAATGTGTGATTTCAGAGCTTAAAAATGTACTACTTCAAAATGAAAATAAATCTAATATTGATCCCACAGTAAAACCACAAAGCTTGCATCAAAACTCTGATCCCACCGTAAAACCACAAAGCTTGCATCAAAACACTGAAAAATTTGAACAATTAAAAGAGAAATCTGGTTTTTTAGAAAAGCTTAGCGGCGGTAAGAAACGAATTGCAAAATGGGATCAGAGATATTTTGAGTTGAAAGAAAACGGTTATCTTCAATACTTCAAAAAAAAAGGAGGAGCAATTAAGGGTAGCGTCGATCTAAATGGCTGCCCAATATCTCTTGACCCTGATAATAACTGTATAATTATTGTTTTACAGAACAACAGACAATGGAAATTTAAAGGTGACAATAATGTCATTGTTGCAGAATGGCTAAACGCGTTTTTATATCATGCTTCAAAAGATTAAGCTCCACTAGTTTGTAACTTGTAATTGCTTGAAATCTACTGTTCAAACGACATTTGCATATAACGGTTTGATTTACAATAAATGTTATCGTTTGCTCACAAATATTTTGTAAATTTAATGTTTGAGGAATTAATAACATTTGAAAACAAAAATAAATTCAATATATATTAATAGAATTATTTGATCACTTGTCTGAATTTACAGACTTTTAAGTTTATTTATTTTTATCAAAGCTTAAAACATCTACTATTAATAAACAGCAATAATTAATCATGTTATAACCATTTTTATCTGAACTTAGAACATCTACTGTTATTGTAAAGCAATAATTAATTATTTTTTTAAGAAATACATTGATAATATTTATAAATACGAACAAATGTAACGAAATAAAAATTAACTATTATCTAAAAACTCGTGATTGCTTAACTAATAGTTTTGAAAAAAAAAAAACTTATTTTAAGTGTAACGAGCTGAGCAGTTAATAAACGTAACGTTTAGAAAAGAAAAGTGCTCGGAAAGAATAACGCTTGATAAGAATAACGGTGTTTTGCGCTATTTCAGTAAAACAAACTCAATTGTTTAAATACAAAATTTTAGAACACATCTGGAATATGGTGAGTTTTTTTTAATTAAAACAGTTGATGATTTGAGGAAAACCCTTCATTTTTTTTCCAAACTCAGCATTGTTTATTGGTAAGTTGCAATATCATGGTTATTGCATTTCTCTTATTGTAACGTTTTGAGTATTTTTACATAAAAACTTTTTAAATTGTTAATGCTATGTAGTATGCTAAAAACAAAAATTAAAATATTTATTAAAAATGCTTACATGGCTCGGACTAGAATATACAAACTTAGACACCAAGCCCCGAAAAAAGTATCATTAGATAAAATACTCACACTTTTTTTTTTATTCATTAAGGTTAAATCTGAAAAAAATCAAACGGTCTTATCTCAGAGCAACGCGGAAAAGCATTTAATCAGGAAGTTCGATCTTTTTTCCTTGAGAATGTTGCATGTAATTATTTTACATAACAGTCATGTAAGTATTTTTCATAACTTTCGATAAATATGTCTGTTGGAAAAATATACCAAAACTATAACACATAACGTTTAAAATATTTATTATTTCTAAAAATTAAATTTAAGAATTTGTTTGTAAAATGAGAAAATATGAACTGAATAGATTTTTTGTTAGTTTGATTTATAGTTTTTATTACTTAAAGTTTAGTTGTTTTTTTTCAATTTGATTTTACCAAAAATATAAAAGCAAACAAGTAGTAAAAACTAGAAACCAAAAGATAACAAAAAAATTAAAAATTTTACAATAAATATGTTAATAAATAAAAGAGTTAAACTTAAATATAATAAACTTAAAAAATCTAAATAATAAAATCTTATTCAAATTAATGTGTTTGTGTCAAAACTTTTTAATCAAAAAAATTTAGGATAATAAAATTTTGATTGTAATTGCATTGTGAAAACCTGGTAAATTATGTTTATTTTTAAAACTGAATTTAATGTGATAACAACTTGAAGATAAGAATATAATAAAGTTTATATGCATTTAGAATATTAGGTTAGAGTTTGTGAGTTTGAGAAATGATATATGTTTTTGATTATCCTTATGTTTTCGTTTTCTAAGCAATTTTTTGACCTTGGTTACGTTAGTGCTAAGCAACGTATTCATAATTTACAATATTTTAACTGTCATTTAAAATATAAAAAGAATAGGCAGAAGATAAGACATGATATCTTTTTTTTTTTTTTTTTTTTTTTTTTTGTTAATAAAACTTAAAACTTTTAAAATCAACATACAGTGCTACAATTCAATTCAATCAAAAATCAAAGTGTTTGTGAGTAAAATCAATGTGTTTGTGAGTAAAATTAATGTGCTTGTGAGTAAAATCAATGTGTTTGTGAGTAAAATCAATGTGTTTGTGAGTAAAGAAATAAGGGGATTGTAGTCTCAAATATAAAACAAAATAAGACGTCATTAACTGTTTCATTTCTCAATATGTTTTAAAAAATCCAGATTAATTAGACAAAGGCACCTGGTTACCATTACACAATCAATGGTTTTTTCTTATTAGATAGAAAAGGACAACAAATTTAAGAGCGTATAATATAAACAAAGGGTATCATTTTGTACAAGTAATACTTTCATAAGCACTTAGCACTTCAAGATTTCTAGGCAGTGACTCGTTACTAAAAAGCTATACAATTCTTTCAAAACTCTTTATAAGAATTCTTTGTTATATAACAAATTAGGGGTAGTTGTTGTAAATTAATTAATTTACAAATGAACTAAATTATTATAAAAAATTTAATTAAAGAACGAGAATCTCTACAGGTGTATATTGTTTTTAATAACCTGATAAAGTTTGATTTTGTTAAATTGAATTCAAATCGCTTTGCAATATTAATTTTGAATTTTAAGCGCTTTATATATATATATATATATATATATATATATATATATATATATATATATATATATATATATATATATATATATATATATATATATATATATATATATATTGAAATATACACATATATATATATTGAAATATACACACACATATATATATACATATTAAATATAAATATACATATATATATATATATATATATATAAATATATATATATATATATATATATATATATACATATATATATATATATATATATATATATATATATATATATATATATATATATATATATATATATATATATATATATATATATATATATATATATATATATATATATATATATATATATATACAATTTTAGGTTTACCATTAGAAGAAGCTTTACGCAGAGCTCAAGAAATGGGAGTCGCTTTAAACAACCAGAACTTTTCTGCAAAGTCTAATGAAGTATATAACTTTAGTATCTATAAATACAATAACAGCAACAATAAATGCTCTAAATATATTTTACAACTTAATTTCCAAGAAAACATTTTGTGTTTAATAAAACGAGGTGTACGGCAGCGCAGTTACCAACTTGATTCCATAAAAAATATTGATACATCCGATGATTCAACGCGAATAATTGTTCAGTTCGAGAATGGTTCATATATAGAAATAGAGTCTAAGTCATTAGAAGAAAAAAATCAGTTATCCCATTTACTTTTTTCCATTCTAAATCAAGACCACCATTACTTGCCGATTTTAAACAGTATAGTTGCAAAGCGTGAGAGGATTATTTTAGAAGGAATTCTTGAAAAAAAAGGACGTAATGCTGCATTTTTAAAATGGACAAAGCGGTATGTTAAGGTTTTACCAGGTGAAATAATGTATTTTAAAGTAGGTGATCAAGAAAATGAAAGCACTGCTTTAAACATTATCTCTTTGACAGTTGGGGATGTTGTTTTGAAAAGAAACTTTGATAGTGGGTTTACTTTGCTGGTAAAAGAAAAAGAATACACATTTCGAACTATACCTTTCAAAAACAATAACGTTGAACTAGAGCGTGACAGTTGGTTAATGGCCATTGAGCATGCGTTAAATACAGATTCAAACAAAAAAGAAGAAGATTTTATAGATGGGATTGATCAAAAGCAACTCTATATTAATGCAGTTAATTCAATAACACTTCAACTAAAGCAATTCGAAAGCGTTTTATACTCTATAGCGCCTTTTCAAGCATTTGACCATTTGAAAAAGATTCAGGACACTGTTTTTTTATTTAGTGAGCAAATTAAATCAAAGCTGTTTTCGAATCTTGGCATCTATAAAGAGTCGAATAACCAAATTGAAAAAACCCGTAACAGTTTTCTAAAGATGAAAAACATGGGTAAACCTTTGAATAACCTTGAATTACCGTCAACGTTACCAACAACTGACCCATCGTATGACGAAACTTTATCTGCAGTGTTATCACCTTCCAAAGATCCAAGTTGCAATATTCCAACTACTCCACCATCAAATTTGATGCCAATTTTAGAGCCTAACAATGATAAAAACTTGAACATACCGGTTGCTCCACCATTCATATCAAATTCTTTAACAAACGCACCAAATGCAACAAATTTAAGCAATCTACTTGTTACACCTTTCACAGTTCCAGCCGCACCTTTGTTTGGGTTAAGTCCAAAATTACCTGTCAAATCTAATGAAGCGCCTACATGTAAAATAAAACCATTATTTTGGAACAAATTGCCAGATTCGCAAATAATGAATTCTTTTTGGATAAATTCTCAAAACAAAACACATTTACTAAATGTAAAGAAATTGGAAAACTTGTTTCATCAGGTTGGTCAAGAAAGTTCAAAAAAAGAGCCAAGTAAATTGTCAGATCTAGATTGCAAAAATAGTCAAAACGTGGCTTTACTTGACCAACGAAAAGCTCAAAATTTAGGTATATTTTTAAGCGGTTTTAAGATAAACGAAACAAATATTGAAGAAAAACTAATGATGCATAACACAAGCGAAGGGTTAACAAACGAAGAAATAGTTGCATTAAAAAGATTTCATCCAACTGTGGATGAAATTGAAATGTATAAAAAGTATCAGGGTGATAGCAAAAAGTTAACGGACATTGATAAGTTTATGATAAAGTTGTGCAATATTCCAAATCTAGCAAAACGATTGGATCTTTTATTGACAATGTGTGACTTACCTGACGAAATAAAAAGTATCAAAATACCTTTAAAACATCTTACGAATGCGTGTTTATGTCTTCTTGAAAACAACCAATTCACACAGTTACTTGAATATATTTTAGTACTTGGGAATTACATGAACGGCGGTACACCTCGTGGAGCTGCCTATGGGTTTAAGTTGTCTGTTCTTACTAAACTTGTAGATATTAAAAGTTATGATAAAAAACATACATTATTAGATTTTATTGTTGAGGAACTATGGAATATTGACAAAGATGCCATTTATTGCTACAAAGGTATGCAGACATTAACAACTCCAATAGATTTCTCTTTAAAAAATTTGATGACAGAGTTTCAAATTATGCAAAAAGAACTGCTATCTCTTAAAGAAAAATCTAAAGGTATAGAAGCAGATCTTGGAGAAAAATTATGCAAAAACATCAATGAGTTTTATGTGAGTTATTCTGCAAAGCTTTCAAAAATAGAAGTCATATTTAAAAACGTACAAAATCTTTATATTTTGTTAATAAATAAATTTGGAGAGTCTTCTTCACTTGATGTTGAAAGTTGGTTAAGTGAGACTGGATGCTTTATAAAACATTTGCAAATTGCTGTTGAAAATGTTGAAAGAAAGTATAAGGAAAATAACTTGCATTCCTTGATAAAGCACTCAACCAGCTTATTAAATGAAACAAAACCGTTTAACACTTCATTAAATGGAGAACAATCAAAAAGAGTTGACCAGAGTGGAAATACTCAAACTGATCTTAATAATACGGTAAATCAAAACAAAGGCACAAATATTTACGAGCAACATTCATTAAAACAATATTCTAAAGAAATTGAACAATCTAACGAAAAATTTGTTTTATCTGGGTTTTTAGAAAAGCTCAGTGGAGGTAAGAAACGAACTGCAAAATGGGATTTGAGATATTTTGAATTAACAGAAAACGGGTATTTACAATACTTTAAAAAAAAAGGAGGAACTATAACAGGCAACATTTATTTAAAAGGTTGTCCAATATCTCTCGATCCAAAAGATAACTGCATAATTAATATTTTACAGAATGACCGCGAGTGGAAACTTAGAGGTGACAAAGATGTTGTTATATCTAAATGGCTTAAATTGCTTTTACATCATGCCAAAAAAAAATGAGATTTAAATGAAAACAGTATACAAAAGTTAAAGAGACAACTAATAGTCGAAATCACATTACTAATACAAAAATAAAAAATAAAAACTTTATATTAAAAATTGAATAAAACTAGTTTTTATAACCTTGATACTTTTTGACCAAAAACCGGTTGATCTTTTGACCATTTACCGGTTGATAAACTCACGCATTTATTATAGTTTGATCCAAATTTTTAAAATAGTTTTTATTCTTCATATGTTTTTGTTGATTTTCATTCTAAACCCATTTGAAAGCTTAGTTAAAAAATAACATTTAGAATATTTACAAGTAAAAAATAAATAAAATTTGAATTCTATTTCAAGTTTATTGTAACTTATAGAATTGGTGTTTTATTGTACATTTTATTTCTGCTACTGCATAAAACATCTTTAGCAACTTTTTGTGTGAGACTGCCTATTTTTACAGCTACCTTATAATAATTATTTTTTGGCTTAAAATAATTGTTTTGCATAATTTGTTGTGGCATATTCATTAAGGTGATTATTTTAAGTGATTATTTTTATACCAGAATGTGACTGTCCAAGTGCATGCATTCTATATACTTTTCTACAATTAATGTCGTATCCTCTGTTATATTCTTTTGATGTTTAAAATTCATTTTATTATTTGTAATTACCGTACTTGATAAGCAACTTTGATGCATTTTTTTTTTCTTGCATTTTTTTTAGACAATGACAAGGTTAAACACTAACATCATAAGAGACATGCTAACATTAAGAATTGTCTAACATTAAAAATGTTTGTCAATATATAGCAATATATATCATGTCCATATATTTCCATTCTTGTAATAAATGTGCAACAGGCCTTTAGCTCAATCTTATTTGCCGAAAGATGCAGAAAAAAAATTAAATCTAGATTTGTTTACAGAGTTGTTATTTAAAATTGTTTGAATTAATTAAAGTTTTTTATATAGTTGATTATCATTAAACTTCATTTTGGTATTTACTTTATCTGTTAAATTTCTTCTCAAAGAAATATTTCCTAGTTTATTTATTGTCCTTAGCTTCACTCTGCTTGTTTTCCTCATTTATAAATTTTTTTTTTACAAAATTGTCCATTTTAAAAAGGTTGTGTCTAGATATCCCACTTGCCATGATTTTATGGTAATAGTTTTTTGCCCAACAAGTAGTAACCTTTTTTTTTTTTTTTTTTATGATCTCCTGCTTACAACATCTAGTAGTAACCCAATTTAATAATAACTGAAATAGTAATTTCAGTGATTATTGTTATTAGAATTTATTTATTAAATTTACTGTTTCAAATATTAACAATTAGCAACAACTAGATGTTACTAATTATTAAAATTGAAATAATAATTCCTTACTCGCGTTGCTCGCGTTAACATATGAATTGAAAACATGTTTTCGGTCTTTAAATTTAAGCAATCAAGCTATATCTAACCAATATTATAAATGCATTTCAGAAGTTTTTATTTAAAAAGTTCATTTATAATGTCTAATCATGTAAATTTAAGACCTATAAATAATGATGAAACAACGTATTTAAATTTAAATAAAAAGAAAAAAGAATTTCAAATAAAAATTTAAATTAAAAAAAAATCAAAGCTTATCAAAAACAATGTTCTGCAAGAAAAAAGATTGCTCAAACTTTTCAAAACTATATTCAGCTAAAACCCCACACTATCCTATCATGTTTTGCTCAAAAAAATCAAAGCTTATCAAAAACAATGTTCTGCAAGAAAAAAGATTGCTCAAACTTTTCAAAACTATATTCAGCTAAAACCCCACACCATCCTATCATGTTTTGCTTAAAATTTAGAAAAAAAACTATTTGGGGCTGACCCTTTCTTCACCATTTTATTGTGTTACTAAGGTAGAAAATATATTAATATGTGAAAACGGGCGCAAATCAAAAAAAAAAAAATCTTGGCCCCTATGGTTGAACGTGTTTCGGGAAAATCTGTTTAACGTCCCCATTTTTATCATTTTTGGTACAATTTTTTTCTCTTTTTCCTGAGTCAATATTGCTTCTTTTATTTCATCACATTTTTTATATTCAATCAAATGCAGGCCTTTGTAACGTGGATCTAAAAAATTTGCAAAACAATTAATCAGTTGCTCAGCACCATAAAGAGTAAAAGATCTTTACTGCAGTTCACAACTTTAAAGATATAATTTTCTACCAAAATAACATATGCGATATCACATATCTTACCCATTTTTGATATATATATATATATATATATATATATATATATATATATATATATATATATATATATATATATATATATATATATATATATATATATATATATATATATATATATATATATATATATATATATATATATATATATATATATATATATATATATATATATATATATATATATATATATCCTAAAAGTAAAAGTTTATACTTTTTGTGTGCGTGTGTGTATATCTGCAATTGCTGAAAGTTATTTATTTTTTAGTAATAAATAAAAAATACTGGTAATATCAACACAGTAAAATGGGATCAAACAAAAAAATTTTTTCGAAACTTGTATCAAAACTTGTAACTTAAGTTACGAGTTTAAAAATAGAAAATTAATTTCTTTTTTTTTAGTTTTTAAAACTTAATATAATTGATATAAACGAGAACATCTTTATTCTACTCTTACATATAAGGAGAATAAAATATGCCAATTGGTGAGTTATTTTGTGATGATGTTGATTCGTTGATATGATGATGTCATTGAGAGGTTCTAGAGGTTGAGTTGCCACTTATGTCTAATACTTTTTGTTAAATATAATTTGGTGCCTTACATGTCATATCACTTTTGGTATGTATGTTTGACAAAACAAAACCTTGCCTTTTGAGTTTTAGCACATATACCAATCACCATTTTGACTTGTAGAATCATCACCCAAAACATTCTTTTCTTACACTCTCTTACACTTGCTCTTCTTACACTTGGCTTTGTTTGCTTCTTTCTTCTTATACTTGACTTTGTTTGCTGTTGTTGTTATTGTTTGAGCCACTATTTTTTCTTGATTTATTTTTGCTTTTTAATTTTGTGGGTCTCAAATTTCCAACGGAACTTACCTAATAACTTATCATCAAAGATAAGTCTTTGTTTCTTTTTAGTTATGTTTGCTGCTTTTACGTCATCAACATCGGTTAATCTAACTTTTAATGCTGAAACACTCTCATTTGAATTGGAACATATAATTTTTTTGTTTTTTGTATCAACGTGTTGGATGGGAAACATTTTCTAAAATTCTGCGAAAAGAAAATAGACCATTTTAATTGTTTTTCAACAATTTTATTAAACTATCTTCCTTCCTTAAACAGCCGGGATTACTGCAATATGAAGCTTGGTTGCAGACGTGTTAACTTTAAAGTTAACATTAATGGTAATGCTATATGACATTCTTTGATGCTAAATGTAATTAATGTGGGTTCAGAAGGCAGTGGTTGTGATGGTGTAGTTACTATTAATGGAAGCAAATATTACTGTGTCAATCGACCATATACGTGTTTGTTGTGGTGCATTGCATTTTAGAGGTGATACCATTAAGAAAGGTAACTTTAGCATATCTTGCCACTACTAAGTACTGTTACCGGCTATTAAAACAACAGGTTTTGTTTGGTAATTATTTACAGGTGAAAATGAGTGGAGTAAAGCATTTAAAACAAATCTCACACAAATTCATACAACAGATTATCTTTTGCATTATGAAACGGATCTGGCATTAAAACAAGGTTTGGATGAACATTAGTTATGAGAGCATATGAACAAGCTTAGGTAAGCTAAATTATGGTAAATAAACTCAATTCATGGAAGTTTGGGTACATGGTTGAGACCAGGCACTTATTTACAGAATTGGCAATAAATTTCATAGAGAATTCAAAATAAGTAATCGAGTGGGATTAGAAAGATTTTAGAAGAGTTAATAATTTCATTAAAGAATTAATGTAAAGTAAATACTTGAAGGAAACAAACAAGGGAAGAAGTGCTTCCAATTAAGGAATGTGTGATAACATTGACAGAAAAGTGGATAAAATACTTTAAGGGATTGCATTTTTATTTCGTAACGAAATAAAAATGTAGTTTACAAAATTTTAAAATACTTCGGATCAAAAACTAAAATCATTTGTCTAATCATACCAAGTATAGAGTTCGCTTTAAAAGCGCATGTAATTAAATGTTATTTCTATTTTAGTTCATTTGTAAAAACCACACCCAAATCTCGTTTGCTCACTTTTGCATTTAATTGATTATTGTTCATAAAAAAATTTCTTACGATGTTTGAACCGTAATGCATGACAAAACATTTTATTATACTTAACTCAACTAGCCATTTTTTGACCAATTAAACACTTTTTAAATGTTTTTTGCAATAGTGAACCATCAATTGAGTAATACAAGTTTGATATAATTCTAATGTCATTGGCATATACCGGAATTGTCTCCAAAAGGTGCCTGTATCTAAAATGATTAATAATTATGCCACAAAGTACTAAGAACTTACCTAAAATAGATAACAAAAATGAAGATTCTTGGTAAGGTTTTTTGAAGAGTTTAAGTTAACAAGAAACTAATTCGCTAATTTCTGCATATAAATTTATCCTAATTATATTGATTCCTGTTATCACCACATAAAGTCGATTTAAAAAATACAAAGCAACTTTAACTTCACCGCTTGCATCCTAGAAATCATTTAGTAAGCTCATATTACCAAAGCGCTTATATTTTACCAAGTTGCTTATATTTTATCGAGGTGCTTACATTTTACTAAGGTGTTTATATTTTACCAAAGTGCTTATATTTTATCAAGGTGCTTATACTACCCTAATCTATCTAAATTCAATAAAAATTAAAACGTCAAAAATTTTAAACATTTTAATAATGAGGTATTCAGATGCAAAGTTAATATTTTTGGCTAAAAATTTAATTCAAGAGAAATTTTATAGGTGGTGTTCCGACCAATTTATATAGAAATATTTTTTAATATTTCCGAAATATATAGAGTAAAAGCGGGTCAAACCAATCACCGAACAATAAAAATCAAGTAACTTTATTATTTTTTAAAATTTTTAAACTATTTTTTTAAAATAAGATAGAAAATACCAACAAGCACATTATTATTATTTTTTTTTTTTTATTGTATTTGAAAATAGGAAAACTAGAAGAAAAAAAATGATCGCATTTGGCAGAAAGTCTGTTAAAACCGATTAATATAAAATACATTTAATAAATTTAATATTTTATATATGTAAATGTATATATTTTTATATATTTTTTATATAGCATACAGAAATAAGAAAAGATTTATGGTTTAAATTTTTTACAACAAAAAAAATCTGAACCCATTACAAAATATTTTGGCAAACATGTTTTATTGCAGATCTAAGTATTGTAATTTGAATTCTCGCATGACATCATGTTTTTCAGCTAGTTTGAGTTGCTCAACTTCTTCCCTTTTTTTAAGATGATCTGCAACACCGTGTTCTGTAATACATTGGCCATCCATTTTTGGAATATTAGGTTGCCTCGATTTTTTTATATTTTTCTTGAAAAAAACTCTTTAGCTCATTTTCCATTTCGATTTTCATTCTCTCATGTAGTGCTCTGTACTTGTCGAATCTCGAAGCTGCTGTTACTGGTTCAGAAGATAATGCTAAAGCCT